AGATAAGCACGGAGGTTAATTGCGAGCTGTTACAGAGACCTGTTGCAGAGCTGCAGAGACCCTGAACAGCTGTTTAGCGCAGTGGGAAGTGCTAAAACTCTTTCTGTGTTTGCAAACACTTCTGGGGCTACATGAATACAGGCTGAGCAGAGGGACAGAGGGAAACAACTGTCTGGCACCGACTGCAGAGGACACTGAAAGCCCTCACACTGTAAAAAGGACACCAACAATTATATAAGTATGTGTAGACATACACAACATGAATTATTTCATATACAGTAGAGCAGAGACAGTCAACTGGCTTTCCCAGACACTCCAAACTCTAAAGTGATGTCTTTAAATGTCTCCAAATATGCAAACATATTGACTTTGATATGGTATAAAAGCAGAAAAGCTCAACATTTGTGAGACAAAAAAAACAATTTTCTGAATTTTTTTTTATCAGTTATTCTAACAGTTTGCGATTATTTTTCTGTTGATCGACTAATTAGTTATCCTAAGCTGGGGGCTAGATAATTGTTGAAAGTTGAAAACCACAGCAGTAGACAAAACCACCCACCCAGCAATAACAGCATAACTCCTGAAGGGAAACTCTTCTCACAGCTTACTGCGTGCTGCAGCTGAGTATCTGATGCAAGCTGGGGTAAAACCACATTACTGGAGTAAAGCACTGAGGGGACGCCTTCGTCTTACAAACACAACGATATATCCAACAAGGCTGCCCGGGAAACAAAACTGAAAAATATGCTTCTTAACTGTAGGACTTGGAAAAAAGCAACAGAAAGTAAAGTCAGTTTGTATAGATAAGACCGCCATGACCCCATTCAAATGCTCAATCCGGTTTCCAGTTAAACTAATCAAACTGCAGGAAGTGCCTTGTGATGAGGAACTGTAGATTTATGTAATGCCTCCCTACTCTTGTAGATACTGCACTGCCTCCCTGCCCTCTGCTAGTCCAATAACTCATTAGCTGACTCTATAATAAGTGGAGGGAAAAGGCGGCAGCAGCTGAGGCTCAGATCTCTCTGTGAGACATTATGTATTTACAGGAGCACTCTATAAGAAGCTCCGCACACACATGAATAAATCATGATATTAAAAATACAGAAGAATAGTCTTAATTAATCGGGGCGTGTGATAAAGTGTGTAACTGTGCATGCGTTTCCTTTTTGTTTTTTTTTATCAACATGCATATTTCATTTCTCTTTGAAACGCTCACAGGCGTGAGTGGGAGTCGTGCGGATGGATCTGTGCCAATCTTTCCTAGAACATCATTCCTCTTCTGGGTCTAATGAGGAGAAGTCAACGCGCTCTCAGAGGCAAACATCACCAACAAAGCGTTTTCAGAGGCCCCTCCATGTCTCAACCTGAGGAGAACTGTCGGAATCTGGAGGTGCCGGCGTGCCGCAGTAATCCTGACAATAAGCATTGCTAGCCGAAGCTGATTAATGCCGAGCATCTCCTGTAATTATCACATTAGCATACTGTAATCTCGCAAATTACCATGAAAATCACCACGACAGCTTCCCTTTCTTTCTCTTCCAGGGGGAATATCAGGCGACAATATAAATGCTCAGAATTCCGTTTTTTCCCCCTTTAAAGAGTGACGCTAATTGATGTAATCCTACAGGGAGGGGGATTCAGATGTAAAGACACATGATCACAGCAGGAGCACAGTCACGCCTTCACACGCACATCCTCCCAAAATGCAACTCTAGTCCAGCAATACATTTTAAAGCCAGTCGCATTAATTATTCATTAAGATGATAGAAGGAGGCTTAATGTGAGCATCCTGGAAACGCTAACATCTAACCCACAACATGCACACAAACTAACCTCGCACACACCGTCCGGCATGTCATAGCTGAATGCTGCAGGGCACACAAATATCTTTAGCCCCGCGGCTAATGCAGTGAGCATGTTTGCTGAGTGCAGGCAGTAAGTGATGAGATATTTAAAAGGAAGCAGGTGGCCGTATAACAGAGCACTCAGAGCGTGATCTACACACAACTGTAGGAGGTGGTTGGTATGGTGCAGCGGAGGAGTGCGAAAATACCACCTCCTCCTCCTCCATCTCTTCCTCCTCCTCTTTTCATATCATGCCATCATCCTCCTCTTTCATATCATTTTAATCTTAAATCTTCTGAATCAACAAACAAATATAGTCCCTGTAGCGATCAGGCCTGTCGTGCTGTGGAAATCGTGTGCATGTGTGTCTGCCAGTGCTTACAAATGACTGTGTGTGTGTGTGTGTGTGTGTGTGTGTGTGTGTGTGTGTGTGTGTGTGTGTGTGTGTGTGTGTGTGTGTGTGTGTGTGTGTGAAGCGTGGGTGAGGTGGGGACTCCCTGCTTGGATCATCTCCTGCATTATTAAAAAGTCTCCGGAAGTCAGCGCCTCTCTCTTTATCTTCCATTCCCTCTACCCATTATACACTTCCTGTGAGAAGGGCAGGCACTCGAGTATAAGAACAAATATAATTGCTTATGGAGGTTATGCAAAGTTCAACCATGGGACTTCTTCCATTTATTTCCCTCCCAAAACACTCGAAACATTTCTTGTGCAGTGATGAGGGAAAGAGGTAGATTTGTGCCGTTATTTGTGTGAACTGATCGACAATTGCTGTGGAAATGTTTTAATCTGTAAATGTAAAACACCTTCAAAACAACTCAAAATGTATAAATTGATTTCAAGTAAATGATAACTTAGTAGTGACAACTTCCAAACTGACATTTGTGAATCAAATGTTTGTTTGTAAATCAAAAATGCATTTTTTGATCTCAATTATCTGTTTGTGGATTTGCATTTTACACACACACACAGATTTGAGACAAACTTTCTGCTGGTCATAATGAAAACTCGTTGCAGTTAAGATCCATGTCCATTCAAAATATCAATAGAGATTGTGTATGATTCTCATAAATATTCAGTTATTGCCAAAAACCTTGTGAGGTCTTCTAAACTCGATGCTTACACAGAGATACTTCACCATCTTTACTCCCAGGCCTTATGGCTTAGGATAGACTACAGTTATTTAACTGACAACAGACAGTGGCCCATTACTAAGTAACACTTCAACAACCTGTTACAAAAAAATGACCATCACCTCCTCAGCTTGGGCCCATTTGAAACCAGCTACCTATACTCGCTACTCCTACTGTTTGTGTCAAAGTACACGCCCCAGGGAAAAGGTTAGTGTGTAGTTCACTTTCAACACGCAGTACTTTGGCCAAAAGTACTGCATGTATATTTGAATGTAGTTTTAATTTTAAAATTGTGAACGCGTTGCTTTTAAAAAGGGTCAATGTGTCAAAACTCTGAAGCACAGCAACGATTCAAAGTTATTGTACCCAAGTCCTTCCTATGTTCTGCCACCTCTAGGTAAGAACCTAGAGCCTTTTTGAGTGTTACCCTTCCTTTAGTGTGTCATATAGGTTTGTGTGCATGTAAATGGTCTGTAAAGGCTAAAATCCCTGTGTTCCCTACAGAGGGAGTTTCTCTCCCACACAAAAAGTACTTGTTTGATATAGATCACACAGTAAAAGATTATTCATTGATATTGTATAAGATTGTTTTGTTCCCTATATTATCACAAATCATATCTTAATTGCAATATCATTCCATATAATCGCAATTAGTTTCAAAATTGTGCAGCCATTTCACATAACCAGTGAAATATAATTAATGAAAGAACGTCAATAAATAATGTTGCAGAATAAACATTAATCAATTCAATTTCCTGAAACCAGATAACGATGATATTTGATGATATTTAGCAAAAACAAAGCAGTGATTTTATCGTGGATGGTGCAGCCCCTACGTGACCTCTGCACAACAAAACAAGAGAAGAAGAGCAGGAGAGGAAGCACCGACACTGTCAAATACTGCAGCGACTCAGCAGTTTGGCTGCTGCCTTCACCTCTCACTGTAACGGGTAACACAGCGTTCACACCATCTCCTCCTTACTCTCGCTCTACCTCCAATCTCCAAGCTCAGTACTGTCAGCCCCTTCCTCTCTCCCTCGTTTTCCAGCTAATCTACAGTCTGGCTGAAACTTCTGCATGAATAATTTAGATGAATGACAGAGCCGTCTCATTAGGTATTCAAATCAAATGCCGAAGCTTGGAGAGAGAAAGCGAGAGAAAACGTAATAAAAAGATGAAGTGTTGAAGGCACTGGGGCTGGTGGAGGTGTGTATCTGCGAGTGTGTGTTTGTGTACTCCCAAGACTAAACCAAAACTCAATGATTTAGAGCCAGCTGCCCGTTTGATTGGCTGGATCACTGCACGGAAAGATTTTCCGAGAGCGGAGAACCATGACTCGACACGCCATGACTGACACCACTTGGGTCTGCTTCGTAAATATAATACGAGCGTACATGTGTCCGCGTTGTGTTTGCAGGTGAAAAATCTCTGACTATTCATTAATAAGTCATAAATACCAGCAGTTTAATTCCCGCTGTTTGCCTTACGCGATGTGTGTGTTTTATGATTCACCTAATCTTTATTTTTCCAATTACAACCCCTGTACTAATTCATGGCTGCTGTGCAGTGGCATGTTGTAAACCAGTGTGTGTGTGTGTGTGTGTGTGTGTGTGTGTGTGTGTGTGTGTGTGTGTGTGTGTGTGTGTGTGTGTGTGTGTGTGTG